CCTGTCTCACATTGCGGTCTTTCATCCATTTTGAGACTATTTTGGTGTGTGGTGTAAGGAAATGGTCCAGTTTCATTCTTCTGCATGTGGCTGTCCAATTTTCCCAACACCATTTGTTCAAGAAACTGTCTTTTTTTCCATTGGACATTCTTTCCTGCTTTGTTGGAGATTAGTTGGCCATATTGTTGAGGGTATGTTTCTGGGCTCTCTATTCTCTTCTGTTGATCTATGTGTCTGTTTTTGTGCCAGTAACATACTGTCTTGATGATGACAGCTTTGTAATAGAGCTTGAAGTCTGGAATTGTGATGCCACCAACTTTGGCTTTCTTTTTCAACATTCCTCTGGCTATTCGAGGTCTTTTCTGGTTCCATATAAATTTTAGGATTATTTGTTCCATTTCTTTGAAAAAAGAAATGATAATTGTCTTTCTCTGATTGACTTATTTCACTAAGCATAATACCCTCTATTTCCATCCACATCATTGCAAAGGCAAGATTTCATTTCTTTTCATGGCTGCAAACATTTCAAAGAAAATGTTCCATTTTCTTTGAAAAAAAATGGTATTTTGATTGGGATTGCATTAAACATGTAGATTGCTTTAGGTAGCATAGACATTTTCACAATATTTGTTCTTTCAATCCATGATCATAGAACATTTTTCCATTTCTTTGTGTCTTCCTCAATTTCTTTCCTGTGTACTTTTTAGTTTTCTGAGTACAGATTCTTTTCCTCTTTGGTTAGGTTTATTCCTAGATATCTTATGGTTTTGGGTGCCATTGTAAATGGGATCAACTCCTTAATTTCTCTTTCTTCTGTCTTCTTGTTGGTGTATAGAAATGCAACTGATTTCTGTGCATTAATTTTATATCCTGACACTTTACTGAATTCCTGTACAAGTTCTAGCAGATTTGGAGTGGAGTCTTTTGGGTTTTCCATATAAAGTATCATACCGTCTGCAAAGAGTGATAGTTGGACTTCTTCTTTGCTGATTTGGATGCCTTTAATTTCTTTTTGTTGCCTGATTGCTGAGGCTAGGATTTCTAGGACTATATTGAATAGCAGTGGTGATAATGGACATCACTGCCGTGTTCCTGACCTTAGGGGAAAAGCTCTCAGTTTTTCTCCATTGAGAATGATATCTGCTGTGGGTTTTTCATAGTTGGCTTTGGTGATATTGAGATATGTACCATCTATCCCTACACTTTGAAGAGTTTTGATCAAGAAAGGATGCTGTACTTTGTCAAAGGCTTTTTCAGCATCTCCTGAGAGTATCATATGGTTCTTGTTCTTTCTTTTATTAATATATTGTATCACATTGATTGATTTGTGGATGTTGAACCAAACTTGCAGCCCTGGAATAAATCCCACGTTGCCATGGTGACTAATCCTTTTAAGGTGCTGTTGGATACTATTGGCTAGTATTTTGGTGAGAATTTTTGCATCTGTGTTCATCAAAGACATTGGTCTTAATTCTCCTTTTTGATAGGTTCTTTGCCTGGTTTGGGGATCAAGGTAATGCTGGCCTCATAAAATGAGTTTGGAAGTTTTCCCTCCTTTTCTATTTTTTGGAACAGTTTCCGGAGACTAGGTATTAATTCTTCTTTAAATGTTTGGTAGAATTTCCCTGGGTAGCTGTTTGGCCCTGGGCTCTTGTTTGTTGGGGGATTTTTGATGACTGCTTCAATCTCCTTACTGGTTATGGGTCTGTTCAGGTTTTCTATCTCTTCCTAGCTCAATTTAGGTAGTTGATAGTCTCAACAAATGCATCCATTTCTTCCAGATTGTCAAATTTGCTGGCATATAGTTGCTCAAAATATGTTCTTATAATTGTTTGTATTTCTTTGGTGTTGGTTGTGATCTCTCCTCTTTCATTCATGATTTTATTTATTTGGGTCCTTTCTCTTTTCTTTTTGATAAGTCTGGCCAGGGATTTATCAATCTTATTAATTCTTTCAAAGCACCAGCCCCTAGTTTCATTGATTTGTTCTACTATTCTTTTGGTCTCTATTATATTGATTTCTGCTCTGATCTTTATTATTCCTCTTCTCATGCTGGGTTTAGGCTTTCTTTGCTGTTCTTCCTCCAGCTTCTATAGGTGTGGGGTTAGGTTGTATATTTGAGACCTTTCTTGTTTCTTGAGAAAGGCTTGTGTTGCTATATACTTTCCTCTCAGGACCACCTTTGCTGCATCCCAGAGATTTTGATCAGTTGTGTTTTCATTTTCATTTGTTTACATGAATTTTTTTAATTCTTATTTAATTTCCTACTTGACTTATTCATTCTTTAGTAGGATGCTCTTTAACCTCCATGTATTTGAGTTCTTTCCAACTTTCCTCTTGTGGTTGAGTTCTAGTTTCAAAGCATAGTAGTCAGAAAATATGCAGGGAATGATCCCAATCTTTTGGTCCCAGTTGAGACCTGATTTGTGACCCAGCATGTGATCTGCTCTGGAGAATGTTCCATATGCACTAGAGAAGAATGTTTATTCTGTTGCTTTGGGATGGAATGTTCTGATTATATCTGTGATCTCCATCTGGTCCCGTGTGTCATTTAAGGCCTATTTCCTTGTTGATCTTTTGCTTGGATGATCTTTCCATTTCAGTGAGGGGGGTGTTAAAGTCCCCTACTATTATTGCATTATTGTTGATTTGTTTCTTTGATTTTGTATTAATAGTTGGCTGCTCTCATGTTAAGGGCCTAGATATTTAAAATTGTTAGATCTTCTTGTTGGGCAGCCCCTTTGAGTATGATATAGTGTCCCTCCTCATCTCTTATTACAGTCTTTGGTTTAAAATTTAATTTGTCTGTTTTAAGGACTACCACCCCAGCTTTCTTTTGATGTCCATTAGCATAGTAAATTGTTTACCACTTTAATGAAAAAAAACTCTAAATCTGGAGGTGTCTTTAGGTCTAAAATGAGTTTTTTGTAGACAGCATATCAATGGGTCTTTTTTGTTTTGTTTTGTTTTTTTAATCCATTCTGATACACTGTTTCCTTTGATTGGGGTACTTAGCCCATTTACGTCCAGGGTAACTATTGAAAGATATGAATTTAGTGCCATTGTATTGCCTTTAAGTTGACTGTTACTGTATATTGTTTCTGTTCCTTTCAGGTCTACTACTTTTAGGCTCTCTCTTTGCTTAGAGGACCCCTTTCAATATTTACTGTAGGTCTGGTTTGGTGTTTGCAAATTCTTTTAGGTGTTTTTTGTTTGTTTGTTTGGTTGGTTGGTTTTTTGTCCTGGAAGCTTTTTATCTCTCCTTCTATTTTCAGTGATAGCCTAGCTGGATATAGTATTCTTGGCTGCATGTTTTTCTCATTTAGTGCTCTGAATATATCATGTCAGTTCTTTCTGTCCTGCCAGGTCTCAGTGGATAAGTCTGTTTCCAATGTAATATTTCTACCTTCGAATGTTACAGACTTCTTGTCCTGAGCTGTTTTCAGGATTTTCTCTCACTAAGACTTGTAAGTTTTGCTAATAGATGATGGAGTGTGGACCTGTTTTTACTGATTTTGAGGGGGGGTTTTTGTGCCTCCTGGATTTTGATGCTTGTTCTCTTTGTCATATTAGGGAAATTCTCTACTGTAATTTGCTCCAATATACCTTCTGTCCCTCTTTCTCTGTTCTTCTTCTGGGATCCCAATTATTCTAGTATTGTTTCATCTTATGGTATCACTTATCTCTCAAGTTCTCCCCTCATGGTCCAGTAATTGTTTGTCTCTCTTTTGTTCAGCTTCTTTCTTCATCATTTGGTCTTCTATATCACTAATTCTCTCTTCTGCCTCATTTATCCTAGCAGTAAGAGCCTCCATTATTTATTGTACCTCATTAATAGCTTTTTTAAATTTCAACTTGGTTAGATTTTAGTTCTTTTATTTCCCCAGAAAGGGATTTTATTTCTCCAGAACAGGTTTCTCTCATATCTTCCATGCATTTTCCAAGCTCAGCTAGCACCTTGAGAATCGTCGTTCTGAACTCTAGTTCTGACATATTACCAATGTCCATATTGATTAGGTCCCTAGCCTTCGGTACAGCCTCTTGTTCTTTTTTTGTGTGTGGTGAGTTTTTCTGCCTTGTCATTTCATCCAGATAAGAATACATGAATGAGAGAATAAGATACTAAAAGTGTGACAAAGACCCCAGAAAAATGTACACTAACCAAATCAAAAGAGACCAGAAACTGAGAGGAGAAAAAAAGGAGGGAAAGAATAAAAATTTAAAATTTAAAAATTGTGTGTGTATATTTATATATATACACACACACATATATCAGACTGTTGAATAGAACAGAGGTTCCCACTTGATTTTGAGTGTATTCTGGTCTCTTAGAAGAAACTACCTCCCAAAATCTTAAAAAAAGAGAAACTTGTGTATATACAAAAATAAGGGTAAACACGTTGAAGGGATAGAATATGACCCTAAAGATAAAAATTTAAAAAAGATTCTAAAAAAGGAATTTATAAGATATGTTGGTTGGAAAAAGAAAAAAAAAAGAGAAAGCAGAGAATGTGATGAGGTTGGAGACTAGAACAAAGCCATGTGCTAGATTTCAGGTATATTTTGATCTATTGGAAGAAATGGTATCCCAAAATTTTAAAGAAAAAAAAAACCCTACATGTATACAAAAAATAAGGTTAAATACAATGAAGGGATAAAATGTGAGTATTACAATGAAAATTTAAAAAGATTTTTAAGAAGATATTATTAAGGTAAACTAGTTAAAAAACATTAAAAGAGGAAAAGTTTAAAAAATAGAATAAAAAATAAAATTTAAAAAATTTAACTTTGCAACACTAAAGGATCATGGGGGGAAAGCCATGAATTCTATGTGTTGCTTTTCCCTAGCTCTGGAGTTCCACAGTTCTTATTGTTCGATTAACTTGGTCTTGGCTGGATGTTCTTGCTGATCTTCTGGGAGAGCAGCCTGTTGCAGTGATTCTCAAATGTCTTTGCCTGAGGTGGAATTACACTGCCCTTGCCAGGGGCCCGACTAAGTAATGAGCTCCGGTTCCCTCTTGGAAGCTTTTGTTCCCTGTACGCTTTCCGTATAGCTTTGGAGGATGGGAGTGAAAATGGCAGCCTCCTAATCTCCAGCCTAGAGGAGCCAAGAGCTCGGGGCCCCACTCCTCAGTGCGCCCTCAGAGAAATGCAGTCAATCCCTCCCATCTGCCTGGTCTCCGGCTACATTCTGAGCTCACCCGGTGTGTGACCGAGTGTTTCTAGCTCTGGCGCACAGCCCTGTTTGGAGTCTACAAAACCAGCAGATTCCTACCGTGCTGCTTCTCCCAGAGGAGGAAGGTGAGTCTCCTCAGATCTAGCACTTGTGGGGTCCCTGCTCGAAGAGCAGTGGCCTGACTGTGCCTTGGATCATGTTTTAAGGTAACCCTGATCTGAGAGCTCACTCCTTGCCTCCATCTCTGTAGTCGGCTTCCCCGCTCTGAAACCTGGGAGTTTTGCTACATTCACATACCCCTGGTCTTTCTGTGACTCTGCAGCACCCAAGACCACACCATTCCTGTGAGGGCTCCACCGCCCCAGCTTAGACTCTGAAGTGATGTCCCTCAGTGGAGCAGACTTCTAAGTTTTGATTTTGTGCTCTGCTCCATTGCTTGCTGGGAGTCAGTCCCTCCCCCCACAGTCTCTCTTCCCATCACTTTGGATTCACTTCTCAGTATGTCCTATGTTCCAGAAAGTGGTTCCAGAAAGTGGTTCTAGGAAAATTCTGTTCCTAGAATTGTTGCTTTCTTCTCTTCTATCTCCTGTTGTGTTTGTACGTGTTCAGAATGGTTTGATAACTATCTAGCTGAACTTCTGGGACCTGATGTCATTTCAGTCTGCTACTCCTCCACCATCTTGCTAAGATTTTATTTTTCAGTAATCTCCACATCCAATGTGGGACTTGAACTCACAACCCCAAAATCAAAAGTTGCATGATCTACCAACTGAGCCAGCTAGGTGCCTCTGAATAACTTTAATTTTCAGAATATTTATGGTTTTCTTTCAGCTTTTTTTCTGAGTATATTCTAAAAGTACATATTAATATCTCTTTCCCAATACAACTCTCCCTCTGTTCTCTTGATCTAATTTGTTACTAACTTTTTAGAATTTTCTTGACTAAATATTTTTGTTTTTTGTTTTAAACATTTTGCTTTATCCTACAGATCTTCTGGGAGTTTGAATAATGTTATCTCCCTGTTTACACTGCTACCTTGAAGGTGTTTCAGCCTTTTTTCACTGGCAGAGATGTCTTTTGTGACAGATGGCCTCAGTTACAATAACTTGATTTGAGAATTGTATTGTAAGTCATATAGTGGTAAAACAAGATGATTTAATGCTTATCACTAGAATTATAACTGTTTAAAATAAAATCCCATCTAAGATTTATTCCATGCAGTGGGATAATTTACAAAATAATGTTGATAAATATCACATATATTTGTATAACCTTGACATCTCTGTGTACAGTCTGTCATCCCATTTAGTGCCTGTGCCAGTTCTGCAGCAGTCATTGACAGGAATCATGGCAATAACTTGGACATTGATGTCCACTAAGCTTCTAGTACATTTACTTTATACATTACCAAAATATAGGTCTTTAATAGGAATTTTAGACCAAAATTTGGTAATTGAAATTAACTAAATTTAAGAATGTTGTGAAACTGAAAATACCTTAATTAGGAAACGAAATATCATAGTAGTAGGGAAATGAATTTTAGGGTCAGACACAGCTGAGTGGAAGTCCTGGCACTGGTATTGAGTTTCTTCAGTTGTAAAATTTAGTTATTAGCTTATTTACCCATTCATTCATTCAGGAACTGTGTGTTGAGATGGTTAGTAGGCATAGTTCCAGGCTCTGAGGCTAAAGAAGTGAGTTAGAAGGACAAAGTCCCTGAGTTCAAGGGGCTTACATTCTACTGGGGAGTCAAAGCAAAAAGAAAGAGGTTATATAATGTAACATCAGATAGTAATAATTCCTATAAAAACTACTAAAGCAGATTCTGGAATAAGTGATCAGGTTAAGAAGCTGGCGTTTCAGACATGGCAGTTACTAAAGATTTCTTTCAAGGAGGTGATATTTAGAGGAATGGAGGGAGGAATCCATGGAATTGATAAGAAAGCTTCCATGTAGGGGTGCCTGGGTGGCTCAGTTGGTTAAGCCTCCAATCTTGGTTTCTGCTCAGGTTGGAATCTCAGAGTCATGAGATTGAACCCTGCATTGAGGGGCGCCTGGGTGGCTCAGTGGGTTAAAGCCTCTGCCTTCGGCTCGGGTCATGATCCCAGGGTCCTGGGATCGAGCCCCGCATTGGGCTCTCTGCTCTGCAGGGAGCCTGCTTTCTCCTCTGTCTCTGCCTGCCTCTCTGCCTACTTGTGATCTCTGTCTGTCAAATAAATAAATAAAATCTTAAAAAAAAATGTTGAACCCTGCATTGGGCTCCACACTCAGCACAAAGTCTGCTTGGGATTCTCCGCACCCCCCCCAATCAGCTCACTCTCTCTTTCTCTCTAAAATAAAAATAGATAAAATCTTTAAAACAAAAGAAAAAAGAAGGTTTTCATATACAGAGAAACGGTTAATTCAAAAGCCTTAATGGATATTTTTGTGAAGGGTAAATGATAATCTGTAAACTCAGTCATAGTTAAGTGCTCATTAGATGTTAGATATTATTTTAAGATAAGCAATGTAGATGATTCTATAGATCATATGTCTCTTTTCTCTAATAATGCACATCTTCCTTCTCATCTTGATTATCTTCTTTCTCTTGAATCCTACATTATTCATCCTATTCTCAGATCCTTTAGTCTCCCCTCTTTTTAATCTGTAGCAAGTTAAATTCTTCTTGAAGTACTCAGATGCTACCACTGTTAGAAGGCCCACTTTTCTCATTTTTTGCCCTTTTGCTTAATATTTATATATTGTGCATTCTGTGAAATTGATTATCTTTTACTAATTTATTAGTAACTGCCCTCTCTAAGCAAGAAATCCACCATTTCTCTATGATAATGATAATGGAGATATCCCCACCTGTTTTGTGGGGATCTATTGTTGTGTGTGTGTGTGAGATAAAAAACTGGTGTCAAGATACCAATTGGGGGGTGCCTGGGTGGCTCAGTGGGTTAAAGCCTCTGCCTTCAGCTCAGGTCATGATCCCAGGGTCCTGGGATTGAGCCCCTCATCAGGCTGTCTGCTCAGCGGGGAGTCTGCTTCCCCCACCCCCGTCTTTCTCTGCCTCCTCTCTGCCTACTTGTGATCTCTGTCTCTCAAGTAAATAATTTTTTTAAAAAATCTTAAAAATAAAAAAAGAATCGCTGGTGTATAGTACTCTTTAAAAAAAAAAAGATACTATTTGGAAGGTGGTGCTTCCAGGACACCCAGAAAACCCAACCAGCCCCCACACCCATCAGCCACATTTTCCACCCTAGTTTCTATTTCAAACTTCCATAGATGCTTTCAGCAGAGCATAGTGACTATCTACCTCTGTCTCTGTCTGTTAAACCACTACTAGAGCTTGACCTACTTTTGTTGTATTTTTTTTGCCTTATTTGGCTGTAAAATATTTATTTTTTTATTTTAGCATCAAGTGTCCAATCAGAGAGCTAAAGCACACATCAATTTGAAGAAGGAAAGTTTATATAAAGAAGTATTAAATGTAAAAGGGCATTGGAGTGTTAAAAGATTGGCTAGTAAGAAAGAAAGATGTATTAGTCTTCTCATTCTGCCATAACAAATCTCTGTAGCCTGGAAGGCTTACACACAGGAATTTATTTCTCATGGTTTTAGAGGATGAGAGGTTTTAGAGGCTGAGGTGCTAGCTGATTTGATTTCTACTGAGATCCCTCTTTCTGGCTTATAGATGGCTACCTTCTTGTTGTGTACCCTCCTGGCCTCTTTTCTGTGATACCCATCCCATGGAGGAAGGGAGGGAAGGAAGAAGGGAGAGAGAGAAGCTCTCCTGGTGTCCTTTATGAAAACACTAATCCTTTTATGAGGACCCTCAGGACCTCATCCAAACATACTTATCTCCCAAAGCCCCCACCTTCAAATACCATCATATTGGAGATTAGTAAGTCTTCAATGTGAATTTTAGGACATAAACATTCGGTCCATAGCAAAAGAGAGCCCTAAAGACTAGAAGAATTGCTCTCATTTTGCAAAACCCTATGGCTGAGAGAACATCCAAGGGAAAGCACCCCCAATCCTCCCACTTCTGGAACCAAGATCCAAACCTTATCAGGAAAGTACATGGCTTACTGAATGGTTGGCATCAGTGGGGTGCCACAATGGCAGAATGTGTTGGAAAACTGCCCTCTGGAACTTGACAGAGATTCACCTTTGGAGGTGCCTGGGAAAGCTCTTCATGGGAAGCTGGCCTTGCCTGACACTCTGCTAAAAAAATATCCAAGCTGCTGGCTACTAGACACTACAGAAGTTGGATACTGGAGAAGCAGGAAGCAGGTGCTGGAAAAGCCTCACCCACTCACGCAAGAACTTTCTAAGGAAACCTGCTGGAATCAAGGAGAAAAAATGCTTTCTTTCTTTAGTGTCTCTCCAGGACCCTCTACCAACAAACCCATACTGCCAGCTAGCAAAAGAGAAATATTTCAAAGGCCCAGATCCATTAAAAAAATAAACCAAATAAGTGGATTTAGAATAAAAGGCAATAAACCAATGTTCAGGGGTGCCTGGGTGGCTCAGTGGGTTAAGCCTCTGCCTTCGGCTTGGGTCATGATCCCGGGGTGCCGGGATCGAGTCCCGCATCGGGCTCCCAGCTCCTTGGGGAGTCTGCTTCTCCCTCTGACCTTCTCCTCTCTCATGCTCTCTCTCACTCATTCTCCCTCAAATAAATAAATAAAATCTTTAAAATAAACCGATGATCAGTCAGTTGCACCAATATAAACTAGAATAAATAGCAGCAGAAGCAAACTAAGTGATGAATATGTTGTTTATTAGCAGGGTAAATTACTTCTCAGTGCCTTTCTGAGTTTTATACCTTGCTGCATCCTCTGTGCCTAGAGTAGAATGTGACTCAGTACAGATGTCCAATAAATATTTGTTGAATGAGTAAGCTAATTAGTTTACTTTTTCTCTAACGTTTTCGTTCTCTCTTTCTTTTGTTCACTATAGCTGATGGATGCACAGATTGGTCTGTCGATATCAAGAAATACCAAGTTTTGGTGGGAGAGCCTGTTCGAATCAAATGTGCACTCTTTTATGGTTATATCAGAGCAAATTACTCCCTGGCCCAAAGTGCTGGACTCAGTTTGATGTGGTACAAAAGCTCTGGACCTGGAGACTTTGAAGAGCCAATAGCCTTTGATGGAAGTAGAATGAGCAAGGAAGAAGACTCCATTTGGTTTCGGCCAACACTACTGCAGGACAGTGGTCTTTATGCCTGTGTCATCAGGTATTCTTTTAATTCTATTACTGCTGAAACAATTAAATCATATGCTGCTTTCTTATACTTAAGTTTTGCTGCTATCCCTTTCACCTAAAGGTTTTGTCTCAGTATTTGTGTGTGTTGCTGCTTTCTAAAATTTAGAACCTAAATCATAAAAAGATGGGATTAGAATTTATATTGAGACATTATATCTGGCTTATGGAGAAAAGAGATACCATCTGGGTATCTACTTATGTTGCCAGAAATTACTAAGGACTATGAAATAAAATTTATGGAGGAGATGAAATGTTGAAAATAAAATATAAGCAAAGACTTGCAGAAAGGATGCATAGTTTATCACTAAATGGGTTGTAACATTTTGTTATTGCCCTTCACAGACAAATAGAGCACAGGTACTTCTGGTTCATACACATCTGTAAAGATGATTTAGGTAAACATTTATATATGCACTGGAAGACAAAGGCAGCATTGCCATGTTAGGGGAAAAGAAGGCTGTGTTCCAGATCATTCTGTTAACAAAAAGTGCTGGGTCAATATAGAGATTTTCCTGTGTCCCTCAGGGCCAAAGAAAAGTTAATAATAATGGTTATGCCTTTAACCACAAAGAAACTCATCACACATCCATACATCTCTGTCTGCTTCTAGAAGAGACATATGTAGTTTGCTTAATGATAATGCATTGAAACAGTATCCATGTAAAACATTAGCAGTTAAAAATCTGTTTAAGTATTTAGCCCTTCATGGATTGTGAATCACACCCTGCATGAATGATTGCAGATGTCATTAGGCTGTAAGAGCATTGGCATAGCAGGGTTCAGGCATATAGAGGGTGCGTTTAAATCTTTGTTTCTTTGCATTTTGGTTTATTAAAAGAAATTAAGCCAGATCTAATGCAATAGATTCTCAATTTGGAGGAGGTCTCAGTGTCTTTAAAATCAAAATTCGACTTTCACTTCTGAAACTCTGATCTGCCGCTCTCATTCCACTGTTTGAGGATCATGCCTCCCCCTCACTTTCCCCTATGAGTTACCTTTATGCTGAGTCACAGCCACAGGTGCATTAGGATGTTAAAATCAGTCAGAGTCACGTAAGAGTTAAACTTAACCACATAAGAGTTGTTAACATTAACAACATACATGTTGAAGTTAATTTTGGAAAGTATAAATGAATGCAAATAAAATTGTGCTTGGGAAAAATGTTTGATGGACCATAAAAGGACAAATGTATCATTCCTTTGGAAAACTCTTGTTCTTTCCCTTACAGTCTACCTACCAGTCCTTTTATGGTCAAACATATCCCTTATTAGAAGTAGAGATTTTGTAATGACATTGATAATTGCCAAACTGGTACAGTTAAAGAGTACTTTTTGGACTGGCTTTCCCTACTTGACTAATAGTGATTTGATTTAATTTCACTCTGTTTCTTTAAAGATATCATTATTTCTGGTTGTTCATGCATGTAGAGGTGATTCTTCAAGATAGCCAAATGTGTGTCCTCATTTATCTGAGATTAGAATTGAGCTGGATGTCCATAGTCTAATATTTCATTTCATTATTTATTGTTGATGAGAAAATAATGATGTATTCACATTCGTAATCTCAATTTCTAAAGCACTGAAGTTGCTATTCTTTGATGTGTTTAAATATACTCTGTGTGACCCAGTGCTCTGAGAAATTACATTAACATGTCCCTGAATTTATAGTTGAAGTAATGAATGAAAGGTTGAAAAGTTACAAAAACAGTGATATTTGCCATATGTTCATATGGCTATGTTTTAATGGAAGATGCACCTTAAAGTTTTGTATGTGTTAAGCAGTATTCTAGAGAAAGAGTAAACTGCAGAAAAAGATATTCTTGTTATTGGAATTTAAGTATTCCAATTGATTTGAAGCTTGTGTTGATATGTCTTTCTTTTTCAGTTTGGAAAGTACTACTCAAAATCATTATAAATGAGCAATTTAAATAGCATTCGTTGGTGTTGGCGTGAGGGGAGCCCAAGGCTGTTAGTCAAGTCACTGACATTTTGGCACATTGTTAGTTCTCAGACCACAAAACTGTCACCATTAGTTTTTAAAGAGTCCACTTGCAAAGAACATTGGATATTTGAAAATGTTAGCTTGTACTCATATGTTCTAGTCTTTCTGGACATTTTTCAATGAAAAGGTTTAACTGTAAGGCTTTCCATGTACATCTAATTTGCATTTATATCTGTAGATACAATTAAACAGTATAAATAATTGGAACACCTTAAGATTACTATCAGCATAACAAACAAGAGCTTTCCTACCCCCTTCTCTTGGTATCTATTCTGGACACGATAATACCACATAATTCTTTGCTGCATGCTACGTGGCTTTTTACTCAATTTTCTCCTTCAAATATATATTTTTTTTATTTTTACATGAAATAGTAGATGAAGGAGAGCTATACAACAGTTTCCTTTATTTTCCTTTGGAGTAAGTTTATTTTATAAAAAATTAACATTTTCCTGTGGTCTTGACCCCCAGTTTTCAACCCCTCCCCTCTCTTCAGTAATGCCCTATCAGCAGTTTCATATGCAGAGGTAGCCAGCACACAGGTATTTTAAAGCATTTCCAAAATATCAACGTACTAAGTTGTTTGGGACCATATTTTTTTACTAAAATTCTTACTTTGGAGGTGCTTGGGTGGCTCTGTTGGTTGAGCATCCAACTCCTGATTTTGGTTCAGGTCATGATTGCAGGGTCGTGAGATGGAGCCTATTCAGCGTGAAGCCTGCTCAAGATTCTCTCTCTCCCTCTGCCTCTCTCTGCCTCCCCCACCATGCTTTCTCTCTCTAAATAAATAAATAATAAGATGAATAAAAATAAAATGGATTTTTTATTTTTGAGGTAATTGTAGATTCATATTCAGGTGCAAGGCATATATAAAGAGATCCTATGAATCCATTACCTGGTTTCTCTCAATGGTAACATTTTACACAACTGTCATATAATCTTATAATCAAAGTCTTGGCATTGAAACAGTCAAGATACAGAATTGTGCCATCACCTCAATGATTCCTCTTGTCCCTTATACCTTTCTGCCCATCCAAACCCAAACCCCTGACAACAAATAATCTTTTCTCCATATCTATTTTTTTTAAAGCTATTTGTGGTGCAATTGCCTTTTTTTTTAAAAGCTTTATTTATTTATTTGGCAGACAGAGATCACAAGGAGGCAGAGAGGCAGGCAGAGAAAGAGAGGAAAGCAGGTTCCCTGCTGAGCAGAGAACCCGATATGGGGCTCAATCCCAGGACCCTGGGATCATGACCTGAGCCGAAGGCACAGGCTTTAACCCACTGAGCCACCCAGGCGCCCCCATATCTATTTTTTTAATTTAAAATGTTATTAAATGAAATGATATGTTATATAACCTTCTAGAATTGGCTTGTTCACTCAGCATAATTCCTTTGAAATCTCTCTAAGTTGTTGCGTGTATCTACAGTTTGTTGTTATTTATTGCTGAGTAGTGTTCCACCACATGGCTGTTGCCACGATGTTTGTTCACTCATTGAAAGACATGTGGGTTGTTTCCAGTTCTTGGTTATTGAAAATAAAGCTTCTGTGGATATTCATGTACATGTTTTTGTGAACATAAATTTTCATTTTTCTGGGAAAAATGCACAAGAATGAATTTGAGTTGTATGGTAGTTGCATGTGTAGTCATATAAGAAACTGCCAAACTATTCTCCAGAGTAGCTATACCATTTTACATGCCCACCAGCAATTCATGAGTGATCCAGTTTCTCCACAGCCTTGCAACATTTGGTATTGTCATTTTTTTTTTTTTATCGTCACCATCAGTGTATCATGAGATCTCTGTGGTTTCAACTTGTATTTCCCTGTTGGCTAGGTATTTTGACACTTTTTCATGTGTTAATTTGCCATCTCTATCTCCTCTTTAGTGAAATGTCTGTTTAATCTTCTGTTGTGTGTTAACTGAATGATTTGTGTTCTTACTGTGAAGTTTCGAGAATTCTTTATATATTCTAGATAATGGTACTTTTTTGGATATGTGGTTTCCAAATATCTTCTATCTGTAGTTTATCTTTTCATCCTCTTAACAAGAACTTTTGCAATGAAGTTCAATTTATTATTTTTTTAAATTTATGGATCATACTTGTGGTGTGAAGTATAAGAGATCTTTGGTTAGCCCTAAATCCTGAAAATTCTGTTTTGTTTCTTTTTTTTTTTTTAAAGATTTTATTTATTTATTTGACAGACAGAGATCACAAGTAAGCAGAGAGGCAGGCAGAGAGAGAGAGAGAGAGGAGGAAGCAGGCTCCCTGCCGAGCAGAGAGTCCGATGCGGGGCTTGATCCCAGGACCCTGGGATCACGACCCGAGCCGAAGGCAGAGGCTTTAACCCACTGAGCCACCCAGGCGCCCCTGTTTTGTTTCTTTTTTTAAATTAACTTTTCTGTCAACAGTTTTATTCTTTCACGTTTGTTTGTGATCCATTTTGAGTTAATCTTTGTGTAAAGTGTAAAGTTTATTTAGGTAAAGGTTTAGCTTTTCAGATGGATGCCCAGTTGCTCCAGCATCATTTGCTGAAAAAGCTACACTTCCTCCATGGACTTACTACCTTTGCACATTTATTCAAAATCAGTTGGGCATGTTTGTATGGTTATATTTTTGGATTTGTATTCTACTCCTTTGATCTGTGTGTCTAGCCCAGTGCCAATACTTCTGTATCTTGGTTAGTGTATGTAGAAAGTAGGACTAAATATCAGAGTGACTCCTCCCACTTTATCCTTCTCTTCCAGATTATTTTAGCTATTGTAGGACCTGTTTCCTTTAAAATAATGTTTAGCAAAAGATTGTCTCTGTCTTCAAAAATCTTTACTGGATTATTGATAAGAATTAAATTAAACCTATAAATCAATTGGAGGAAAGTCGTTATCTTTACTATGTTAGATCTCCCAACCTCTGAATGCGGCAGATCTCTCCATTTATTTAGAATTTCTTTCTTTGATTTCTTCATCA